CAGGCAAGACAACATTAGCAGATCTAATCAAACAAATCTCAGAAATCTATTAGAGCTAAACGTTTTTCTTCTAATTATTTCCACTTCAACCACAGGTTTCAGCTTCTCAAAAATGAAATTAAACAGAAGTCAAAATTTCTACCACAGATAACCATTGGCTCCCAGCACAACGCCTGAGCTCCCAGGAAGGTTTTCCGAGAAACACAAAACTAACTTAAAGCTCAGTTCCCTGGGAAGGCATCAAATAGATACCCAGGTTTCTTCAATTTCTTCCTTGACCAGGACATCCCTTCCTCACCCTTGCCTTGTGGAACTGAAGAACGTTTTCCCAAAGGGACTCAATACCATTTGGTCACTTGGACTTTATCTCAGGCCAGAAATCCCTGTTTGTTGAAAGAAGCCACGGCAAATCAGCTTGTAGCAGGGTGGTACCACACAAATCAGCAGGGGATTATATTTATAACGTTTACCACAAACACCCTAAACGTACCTAAACAGATGAGCTATTGAGAGTTTGATTCTTTAATCTTGTCAGGGATTTTTTCTTTTTGGAAGTTGAGCAAGATCCGATGAAATTAGGTATTCTCTCTTCAGAGGAAAAAGGACCACATGAAAGACTTTGCATATTCTCCTTCCAGTCCTTTGGGAGTTGGAAAACGTTGATTCAGTTCCACCTTAATCCTTTAAGCAGCACTAAAAGGGCCTCCAAGCAGTTAAGCATCTTTTTTTGACTCTGAAGAACCAATACTGTGCTTTGAAGAGGAAAAGAAAAAAAGTGATGTCTTTGGCAGTGACTGGGATGGGTCCCAGCATCTTCAGCACTATGAGGTTTCTGTCATAGAGAAGAGATCTGGTGGAGAACAGAGGAGGGCAGTGAGGGAAGAGCAGAGCTTGTGGGAAAGGATGAAGAACCATAAGCTGCTCTTGGGCAGTATTTTGTAAAGATCTTCTAATCCCATCTTCTGATGAGACAGTGCTATAAAAGCAGGAGAACAAGCAAAGAACACCTCAAAGATAAAAGGAACACCTTCCCTCTCACCTCCACACATCCTTAGCGAGGTGGCAGCTGAGATGTCCAGTGCTGGCAGTGTATCCCCTGCAGAACTGTGCCACGAAGCCCTGCCACTCATAGGGCCACACTGCATGCTGACCCTTTCTTCATGCCCTGCACCACGAGCTGCTCAGGACTGCTTCTGGTCCCTCTCTACATCTTTGGAAAGTACCTGCTGCACCCCCAGCTGGTTCTGCAGAAAGATCTGTACCGAACCACGTGCCATTCCTCACTTGGCTTCAGGTCTTTCTACTAGAAGGGCAGATTTGGGCTCCCCTCTCAAAGGTGGTGGCAGATTAGACTTGTCAGCCCCATCACAGCAAGAGTTAGGTTATTTTATTTAGCACAGAGCACAAAGAAAGAAAAAAAAAGCATGCAGTTGCCTAGATGCAAGCATTATGCAGAGCTCTGCACATGGGATGACATCTTCCTGCAAGGTACTGCCTTGTAACAGCATAAGCACTGCTCTGCTCCAACATCCCCAGCTAAACCAAACTAGAGTAGTTTGCAAGGTTCACCTGAATATGGTCCCTTCCAATCCAGAAGGAAGAAAGCTGCTTAATTACTAACCATTAATGAGAGAGAACTCTGCCTATTAGCAACAGGAAGAGGTACAGACAGTTTTTTGCCTTCAGTGCATTGCAAGCATTAGCATTGGTGAGGCTCCTAACTGAGAATTGCCATCTGGTTGCCAGCTTCATATGGTAGGTGTGGGAACTGAAGGAGAGAGGTGAAGCCACACGTGCAATGCTCCTGATGGAAGATCCCTGCTCATCAAAATCCGTATGGCTACAGAACCCAGCAGAAGATGCTGTCATGTCTTGTGCCCTTTCCTTCTTCCAGGCTCCAACTCACTTCTGATAGTTTCCCCAGTTCTCCATTACCAACAGGTTTTCTGCATAACTGGCCAGTTTTTGTTTGTTTGTTTTCCCCATTTGCTTGATGGCTTGTTCTTTCATTTATTCATAGCAACTGCTCAACTAAAACCCAGGGCCGTGTCTCCCCTCGTGCTGAGAACACAAAAACATAAACAAAAGAGGAAGAGTGAGATGCAAAATGCCTTCAAAGAGGAAAAGACTGTTGATGCATTGGCACCAGCTGCCCAGGGGGGTGGTGGAGTCACTGTCCCTGGAGGTGTTCAAGAACTGTGGAGATGTGGCACTGAGGGATGCAGTCAGTGAGCATGGAGGTGACGGGTCAACAGACGGACTTCATGATCTTGAAGGTCTTTTCCAACCTTAGTGATTCTATGAAAATCTCAGTGACCCAAAATGCTGGGGCACCAATTAGCAGAGCACAGGGTGAGCAGGGCAGGACCCAGCATAGAGCACAGGCAGGTGCAGCCCCAAAAGTAGGCAGCTCCTGGGTAAAGCACAGCCTAATGACCATTATGTATCCAAGAACACAAGTAACTTATCTGTAAACAGCACTCCCCCAACCAGGCATTAGCTGGAAAAAAAAGAAAAAGAAAAAAAAAAGCAGCTTTGGAGAGTGAAGCTAATTACATAGCTCTGAACAGCTGGACTTTGATCATAATTACAGTGCCGTCCTCCTTCAGCATTAGTGGCTTCCAGCTGCAGCTAGGTGGGCATTTAGGGAAGGTGGAGATCCTTCCCCATGCCAAAGGAGGAGGGAGTTGTCCCGTGTCACAGCTGATCTGGCTGTCAGCAAGACCCCTCCTGTCCCCCCCCATTTTAACAGCATTTCTAACACTTTCCACAACTGTTTTGCCAGCATGCCTCAGCTTAGTGTTATCAGTTTGCTCTTTAGATTATTATTTACATATAATTTTAAGGAAAGATATTAATGCAGCCCAAGTTGCAGAGAAGCACGTTGGTGTTGGCTAAATAACGCGCTCTGACCACATCAAAGCAAAAATGTTTCAAAGCGTGTAAAATAAATGCGATTATGAAACCGTTCAGTTTTGTTAAATCAGTCAGAAGAATGTCACCCAGCACATCCCGAGAGGCATCCCATGGGCAGAGCCCCAAGCTGAGCACCATAATGTCTTCCCACTGAGAAAAGTATTTCAGGGACCAGCTCCCAGCTGATTCTGACCACGCAGAGGACAGCCACTAGTAACTGGACAAATGCCACTCTCCGTTCATAAAAGCAGACGTGGAACAGCTGAGAGCGTTATTACCCTGAGCTACATCTTGATCGGGTTTTACAACTGAGGGGTGTCACAAACTTTATCTGTCCCAAGCTGTCCAGAGGCTTCCCACAACACAATGGCCGCTTACAGAGCCTCATTGTGCTGCTAAGGCACGCGGCTGGGACCAGTGATTTGTTGGAGGACACAGACCTAGTGGTGAGGAAGGCCCACTCCAATGAGTCTACAAAGAACAGCTAAGGGAGTTTCATTCCCTGATTCCTCCTCCAGCTGGGATTTGCCTTAGTCACAGTGCCAATCCTACAGCTCTGTTCTTTGACACAGGATGGGACAAGCTGGCAGAGTTCACAGGCTCTGGGAGGTAGCTCCACAGCTCAGGTACCATTGCTGGTGCATCTTTGGACTTCTCAATATATCAAAAAATATTTTTTCTATTTTCTACCTGGGAATTTGCTTAGTTGTATCTTCCAAACGCTGAAAGTTAGACTTGAAAGGAGTAGGATTTGGTGATCTTCATGGGTCCTTTCCAACTTGGGACCATTTGTGATTCAATGATCCTTCAAGATGCTAAGACCCCACTGCTCCAACCTCCAGTGCACCTTCCCAGATGGGTGCTGCTCCCTTCGTGGGTTTTTGGGACAGCAAAGCGTGACTGCATGTAGCTGGCAGCCCCATGTTGGTGCTCTGGAAGAGAAACCAACTCCCTCTGCTTCATTCCACATTCCTGCACTGCGGCAGCATGGCCAAGTACCGCTTGCTATTTCCCAGCTCCCCTCCTCTGCTTTCCCAGCACAGGGAGCACCAAAACCACAGTGACACAGAGCACGTTAAAGGGGAAAACAGAATGCTGCAACAAATCCTGGCAATGGAGGGGAAAGAAAAAGAGATCGCAACGGCCAAACCCTCAGCTATGCAACACATGCACCGTGAAGAGGAGCAACACATGCACCATGAAAAGGATGAGTTAAGAGTTAACCCTTCTGCAGACGGAATACCGACAGCAGCCAGGGCTTTTTGCAAGCACGGCCAGAAAGGAGCCTTAAAGCAGCCCAGCAAGTGACCGTGCTCTGAGGATTTCACCTCTCCGAACTTTACGACTGGAAAAATACCATCTACATGTCATTTATATGCTTAAATATAGTATCTCCTATTGGGAGAAACAAACAGTCCGACAATGTGACACCGTGATACCTCGTGCAGACATGCTCTTTTATCTGCTGGAAAGTTCTAAAACTCAGCTTAACAACAAAGCTAAAATAAGAGTGGTTGTCAGGCTCTGTGCTGGCTGCTAAACAGAATGAAAATATATTCTTTGAAATGTGCTTTCCCTTAGAAGGAGTTTCCTTTCTGGATCTTTTAAATGATTTATTTATCTTTTCAATTCCCAAATCTCAGAGCTTAGGCTAGACTCGATGATTTTAAGGTCTTTTTCAACCTGACTGATTCTGTGGTTGTATTCTTCCCATGAGTTTTTTCACTTAAAGACACAAACAAACATATATCTTGCTATAGAAAGTAACAGCAATCCGTGCACTTCCCAAAGCTCTGAGTAACCTTCACCTCCAAAACGCTATCAGCTTTCAGGTTATTTATCTTATATTTTTCCTCTAACGCCAAAGAGGAAGAGGCCGATATCTTAAGCGGATGCCTATAATTAAACAGTAACCTGTTAGAAAGCCAAAAATAATAGTAAGCTCCACTGAGCATGAAGAGAGCGGCACATTTTTTCCGCGTGCAGCCCAGCTGCCCCCGGCCGATAGCAGCAAGTTAACAATTACACGAGTCACAGAGATCAGAGCCGCGATAGGAGAGGCCGACGTCACGCCCGGGACTCACCGCGGGATGCAGGGATCGGGGTAGTACTGCAAGGTGCTGAACGGCGCCGCTTCAAAATTCATCTCCTTCCAGCCCCTCTGAGGGCACGGGCAAAAAAATAAATAAATAGATACAAAGCCAGCCGGCCAAAAGCAATAAGGTCAAGTGGTACGCCAGATACAACTTTAGAGATTTATTTTGCACTTGCAGATGGGTGGGATCTCCCAGGGGCTTGGCCAATGGGATTCATCAAGTGACCTGAGTATCACCACCCGTCCCTCCTCACCAGCTGGGCATCTTCTGCGCCAGTATTTCCCCTCCTCTCACCATCCTTAATAAACTCCGGTGTACGTCGGCCGCACTTGTGTTGGGAGCTCATCTGGGGCATCTCTGAACTTCTGATCTCGTCAGCCATTGGTTGCCTTCCCGCCTGACTTCACAGTTTAATTTTGGCAGCTCTTGCGATTTTGCAAACTGCCACAGCCGCTGGTCATCCTCAGCTCCAGCTGGCCGGAGCTTCCCCTGCCCGCACTGCATTTTGTCGCGCTCTAAAAGCTTCCCTGGGGCCAATACCTGCATGACACAGCCTGGGGAAATTTTCTTTTTCAATCTCTCTCTCGACGCAGTTCAAACTGTCTGTTGTGGTTGTAGTTTCAAAAGCAGAATGACAAAATACGGGGAAATTCCTCATTTAAATTTAGCTCTGAACTTCTGTGCCTCTGTCCCCCCTTCATTTCTTCCCCCCCTCCCCTGCCCCGGCCCCCCCCCCCAAGCACCAGAGGTAATTGTTAATGTTTCACTCCATATCTTTTTATGTATTTTTTTTTCCCCAAAGAAAATTGAGATATTTGTGTTAGCATTCTGAAAATATATATTTTCCATGTGATACAATACTTTCAAATGTCCTGAGAAGTACGAAGAAAGAAAATAGGGCTGATGTCTTTTTCAAACCACTAAAGCCTGAAGAAATAAGAGCAAAATTAAGTCCTAAGGTGAGAGGAAGATCAGATTTTCCTGAAGTAAACTGAAAACCAAGAAGGGCACTTCTAATCCCTTCACCTTGCCTTTTCTTATTTTTTTTCCTCTCAGACCATCACTTCAGAAGGCAACCTGCTTTATTCCCCTGTTTTTCCCCCTCCATAACTCATCTAAATAGCACAGGCTGTAAACCTATCCTGGTTTTGTGGTTTTGGAGAATGAATGAAATATGAATCAGGAGCTAAATTAAAATGGATTCCAGCAGGAAAAAATAGCATCCATGTATCTATGACCCAATGGGATTGCATCTTGCAGCAGACATGTATGTTTGTGTACACAGAGGGTGCTGCTCCATTGCTCACCTACTGAGCATCTCTCATGCTGATGTCAGCACGAATGCCAAAGTCCTGAGCAAAAACCTGAAGCCCTCTGAGAAGGCAGCGACTGACTCTTATTTTTCTCTCTGCTCTTTCCTCGTAGGAAATTTTGGTTCAAAGAATGTCATGTGGAAACATTTTCTTTGCTGCCTGTGCCAGGGGAGCTATTTCGGACTTGACATTCTCCACCCACACTCAGCCTGATAGTTCCTAACATCTGTGAATTGTGAATGCTGTAAACTCGTAGTGCTGATCCCTGCCCAAGCCCAAGCAACTTTCACTGATCCCTGCTCAAGCCCAAGCAACTAAGTGGTGTTGACCAGGGAAGAGAGGCTGGACACAAACGTGTTTATTAACTGAAGCTAAGGCTTTCCTTGCTGCTAGACACTGCTTCTGCCTGGCATAAAACATCAACTCTGCACCATGCAGAAGTGTAAGAACAGCCAAAGCAGGCTGTGCTGCTGAGGAGATGCAAGCTTTGAACAATCGCCCTGTACTGAAGGCAAAGAACAAGGAGATCTCCCCATGCACTCCATTTCAGCACGAGTGTGAGGCCATGCTCTCCTGGCCTTAGGATCCAGCTTCAATCCTCATGAGTGCAGACAATCAGCCTGGCTGGAGAGGCATCAGGCTAGGCTCAGCCTCTTGCTTCAGTCCACAGGAGTACACTGCTGAGAGCTTCTGCCTGCCCCAAGAGACAGACCAGCAGCCTGCTGGATCTCTTCTACCATGCCCTTGTGGAACAGGCATAGCTTTATGCAAGTTGTTATGAGTGTGTCCATTCTGGAAGAGTTTGTATTTCCTGCTAGATTTCAGCCCAGAAGAGAGAAGTCTCATGAAAAAGAAATGCTGTGTGAAAACGGAACTGCTCACGCGCTGTTCCATTGGAACTAGAGAAGCCTTTGCCAGCGTGACGTGGGTGCCAAAACCAAAATGCTGGAAGCAGGGAAAGACTGGACAACTCCCACCCAACGATCCAGACCTGCCCCTCTGCTCTCAGCCATTCTCCTCACCTGGCACTGCCCAGTTAACACTGTGAGGTCAGACAAGACGTCCCAAGGGCTGCTCCTGGGATTGGAGCTGCTGGGCCGCCTCTGCAGCCAAAGATGAACTTCAGCTCTGCTCTTATACCTCATTAACACAGTACAGCAGCAGTGGTGCAAAAAGTCTTTCTTTGCAACACCTAAGGAAATTTTGCCAGGATCGTCCAACATCCACGCGCCCTTCCATGTGCTCCTCAGTTCCCCAGTCACGTTAAGCCCAAGTTTGTTATAGCCCAAACCACTCAGCCTGTGATTCCTGCTTAGAGAGCCAAACACGTCTAGCAGCACCCCAGTCAAGATGAGGCAGCCAGTCTCCAGCTTGTAATTCACACCAAAAGAATATCTGCTCCTGAAAAAAAACTAATTAATTTTAAAAAGCAGTACCACATAATTGTAATGAGCTCAGAGCAGGGCTCTCTTCTCGCTCGCACGGCATTGATGGGAGGAGATGTCTAGCAAGGACATTTCCATAAAAACTTCAAAAAGGGCCACCAGCTGCCCAAAGTCCTTACCAGTCCTCACATCCAGGGTTGGGCAAATGCAAATGGTTCAGAGTTTGGCTCACGCTGGCAGCACATGCAGAACACGGCTGCCTTTTCCCAGAGAGCTGGACGTTTTCAGCTTCCCCCCAAGATCTAGATATTCTTTGAAATGGTTGAAAAGGTCCACTGCTTGCTTTTCCCATCAAAAAGCAGAACCACGGGAAGCCATGGGTGATAGCCAGGCAACAACTACCTGCAACAATCTAACCCCATCTTCCCTCCTGCCCTTCGCTTGCAGCCAATGCTGAGCCCAGTGTAGATATCTGCATTTGCAGTTAGACTGCATTAACCTCCCTTCAGCTGCAGGGTGCTCCTTGCGCTCCACAGCCTGCAGTGGAATCACAAGCCCCAGGGTGGGTGTATGCTTATTGCCAGAGCTCTGTGTATAGCTGGGAGGCTCTCCCATTATTTGGCCAACCCCATTCACGCTGCCTTGAAGAAAATCTGCTGTGAAATGAAGCTCTTGTGGTAGCAGCCTTCAAAGGTGGGCAACTCAAGAGGAAATGGGGCTTATGACATCCCCAGCATTCCTTGCCCACTCTGGGATGCCTGCAGGCTGCTCCGAGAGCAGTGCTAACCCAGCAGCAACAGATGCATGCCCTGCAGGAGAATGATGGAAGCCAGGCTGTCAGGGATCTGTCTGGCCAGTGGATTTCCAACCCAGTCCACAGCGCTTGCGGTGAGCTGGCGGCATGGGGATATGCAGAGGAAGCATGTGTGTAGGTGGGCAAGAATGCGGGGCATTGCTCTGTCGCTGCTGCTTCCACGTCTGGGAAAGCCCACAGCTGTTTCCTGCCTATTTTTCTATTTTCTCATTACCCCTCCATGCACCCTCTCCATACGGTTCTCATATGTGCATGTTTTAGCAGGGACTGCTACAGATTTACTTGCCACCACCCAGATTCAGCGCCAAGATGCATGCCAACCTTTGTCCTGAACAAGGGTGAAAAAGAAAGCAGCAGTTCCCTGACACCCCTGTGGCTCCAGGGCCATGGATCTGGGGCCATCTGAGAAGCTCAGGCAGATGGGGAAAGGCAGGTTCAGCTTTGCTCTCAGCCACCTTCCCAACTACTGGGAAATCAGCCCCACCCTCTACACTATGGGGGATGAAACATTTCTTCCCTAGTTTGGGATTTCCAGAGGAGTGGTTGTGGGTTGCGTGTTTTTTCTTTTTAAATGAATTTCTTTCAAAAGTGAGAACTCCGTGGGATATTTGGGGATTCTTTTTGTCCAAAAAACTTGGAGGGGGGAATAATTTCCCACTCCTGGCAAAAAGAAATCTTTATTTTGGCTATCTGAGGGAAAAAGATCACCCTATGTCAACATCCTTCCTGAACACATTTTCCAATTTCAACTAAATTTCTACTAATATTTAAAGGTTTCAAATATGTTAAGGCTTTAGGAATTCCAGCAACAGAACTAAGCTCAGAGAAAAGACACCTTACCAACAACTCCACTGAAATGGAAGGGTAGCAGGTGTGCAACCTCACAGCCCGCAGAGCACCTAGCCAAACACCACGGTGGTGGGAGAAGCCTCCAGGTAACAGCAATCTCTGGTTCCATTTCTCCACAAATGTCAGACTCCCGGCCTTGTGCTCATGCAAACCCTTGCCCCTGCTCTGCTTGCACTGAGAGAAGGAGACTTCATAGAATAGCAAACTGAAGAGGGAGAAGAAAAAGCCATTTTACTTAGTACTTTCCCCTAGCATCTTTCGTCTGCAGTGCAAGCAAACAGTGGTACTCTGCAATATGCTCATGTTGACAGCTGTTACCTAGAGCTAGGAAGAAATGAAGGAGGGCACCCTTCAAACCCTCCTGAAAGCAACAAAAACCACTTTCAGAGCTGTTTGCCTTTGGTGACATGTCTGTCGCATCTGCATGGTCAGAGCACCATCCACTTGCAGGAAGCAGTATAGTCTGGTGTTGCTCTCAGAAGGAACAGCAAACAGTGTAATTAAGCACAAACTGCTTTTGGACCATTGGTCCCCAGGACTCTGTCTCAGGAGGTGACAAGAAGGCAGGCTTGGAGCTGACCATAGATCTTGGGAAGGGAAATAAATATTGAAGGAGATTCTCTTGACTCTTCCTAAACATCAGGGCCCTTCTCTCTACTGAGAGAGAGCAGAAGGAAGCAGCTCAGAAA